GGCAATTTCTGTCAAAATCATTTTCACTCCTTTTTTTGGCATTCAGAAGGCCATACAGCGGAAATGGACCATAGTTATACACTCAGTGCGCATGCCCCTACACCATGCAAAAAACCATTTTCGAAAAGCGTCCCACGCCCTGAAAGACCTTCCTTTTTAGCGATCTCTTTCAAGGAAAGGTAATGAAATGACTAGCAAAGAATGAACTTGCCTCTTCATAGGTGAAGTAATTGCCAAGAATGAGCTGTAAACATAGCACAGGAAATTCACTCGGCGTGCTGTTCGCTCTGCATACTACCTGCTGCACATGTACTTGAGCCGGTGAAACAGATCGCTCTTTTCGACCTTTACCTTAACAGGAAGTTGAAGCAGAAAATGAAGCTCCCACCAAACAAGAAGGCTGTGACTAGGTGAACTTTAAAAAGTAAAGTAAAACGCAAAAAAATTATTGACTTTTTTAAAGGAATTATGTGGATTCAACGCTACATGTGTAAAGTAGGAGAGCAATTTCGGATCGAAGGACAAACCTCATCAGCCTAGCTGTTCGATAACTTGCTATTCAAAAAACAACTCAAATAGAAATGTAACTAGAAGTACTTTTCCGAAAGCAGCCACCTTCGTAAATAGGATCAAGTCTACGATCAGGAGTAGAACTCTTTCTGTTCGAAGATGCCCGCGACTGGGTAGTAACGTGTGACTGAAATTCTCTATTCAAATTCTTCATCTACCATTCGGCATAACAGTATCCTATAACCCCTGTAGTTGACACCTCATATATCGCTGAGCTGGTGCTCTCTGCTGCCTTCATCAACTTCTTCCGCAATTCGCTAGAAGGAGAACTTCCCAATTCCTTTGCCTAAAATAGCTACATAAGGAGTAATAAGCATACGATACATATATTAGTTATGCGCTATTAGCATTACGACAGAAAGAACGAGCAGAAAATACCGAGTTTGACGTGCATGCTGTTTGGGCTATGGCGCTCAGGATACGGCCATCACTTTCAGTTTCATTTGGAGGAGTTGATACAGTTGCAATAGAGCATTCATCAACAGTGATGGGAGCCCTCTTTGTTGTTTCATTGTTTTGTTGATCATTTGCTGCTACATTGTCATTCGATAGAGCAATAAGCGAAGTAGGAATATTAGACGATAAGCTGAACAATTATTTTAAGGTTATTCACTCAAAATCAGTGAGAAACCGGATCGGAAACCATGAAGTGGAATAAATGCCGTAATCTTGTCTCGAAGTCAATAAATAGACCCCGAAATCAGGAAGGGACCTGCTTTTTAGGGCACAGTACACAATAATTCTGGGATATCTAATTTTAAACGAGTGATTAACTCATTGGCCACCGCGCCATTTTGGGATATGCAAACCAGCCCGCTTGGAATACTGCTAGATGCATTTGCGCCACTTGCGCCGCCACTCGCCTACCGTAATCGACGTCTCTTTTTAAAT